CATGAGCAACTTGCTTCTCTGCTTCCTTTGTTGCTTTAATCCATCCACAGTCCTCCTGTCTAAACACTATTGGATAGACACTATCAATAAGCTCCATAGACTAAGCTTTTAAAAGCACGACAAAGTGAAAAGGGTTAAATGCTGTACATGTGTGACAGATGTCAAATGAATGTATGGATATCAAATGTGTTTACCTCCACAATGTGAACACTGTCTCTGTGCCACAGCTTTGGTAAGAATGCACACACACTGCCAGTTATGGTTCCTGTGTTTATTTATGAGACATACTTTTCTATCATGCATACCATACTAGACAGTACCATCATACAGTATACTTTGCATGATAAAACAAGACAGCACTTACACTACAACTACTTAACATACAGGGCATTCGGAAAGTATTCAGACCCCTTCACTTTTTCCAAATTTTGTTGCGTTACAGCCTTATTCTAAAACGAATTAAATAAATCTACACACAATACCCCATAATGACAAAGTGAAAACAGATTTAGACATTTTTGCAAATGAGCAACATTCTTTGTGGCTAACTGAATTGGGCCGTTTGTTTTTGTCTTCAAACACAGTGAAAAGAGCCAGGGTTGAAAAGAGTTTAAACTAAACATGAGTGTTTTTGCAAGATAAGGATTGATTGATTGTAGTACTCTGAACTTAATGAAAGTTGAGTTTAGCCGCTCTCAGAGACAAAGGAAGTGGGCGGAGCAATAAAAGAGCGGGAAAACTGAAGAGGACTATATAAGATGGAGGGAGACCTTAAGGATGTGTGCCGCTCTGCAGACGGGTATCGGCTTTGTTGAAAACTTTAATAAAGTCATTTCTTGATGCAACAAAAACTCTGTAAGACCTTATTTGTAATAAAGTATAGTGGTTATTTTCCACAACAATGCATGAAAATACTAAAACAGAAAAACATTATTTACATAAGTATTCAAACCCTTTGATATGAGACTCGAAATTGAGCTAAGGTGCATCCTGTTTCCACTGATCATCCTTGAGATGTTTCTACAACTTGATTGGAGTCCACCTGTGGTAAATTAAATTTATTGGACATGATTTGGAAAGGCACACACCTGTCTATATAAGAACACAGCGGCCTCCATAATTCTTAAATGGAAGAAGTTTGGAAACACCAAGACTCTTCCTAGAGCTGGCCGCCTGGCCAAACTGAGCAATCGGGGGAGAAGAGCCTTGGTTAGGGAGGTGACCAAGAACCCGATGGTCACTCTGACAGAGCTTCAGAGTTCTTCTGTGGAGATGGGAGAACCTTCCAGAAGGACAACCATCTCTGCAGCACTCCACCAATCAGGCCTTTATTGTAGAGTGGCCAGACCGAAGCCACTCCTCAGTAAAAGGCACATGACATCCTGCTTGGAGTTTGCCAAAAGGCAACTAAAGGACTCTGGTCTGATGAAACAAAGATTGAACTATTTGGCCTGAATGGCAAGCATCATGTCTTGAGGAAACCAGGCACCGCTCATCACCTGGCCAATACCATCCCTACGGTGAAGCATGGTGGTGGCAGCATCATGCAGTGGGGATGTTTTTCAGCGGCAGGGTCTCGGAGACTAGTCAGGATCGAGGGAAAGATGAACGGAGCAAAGTACAGAAAGATCCTTGATGAAAACCTGCTCCAGAGTGCTCAGGACCTCAGACTTGGGCGAAAGTTCAAGTTTCAACAGGAACAACCCTAAGCACATAGCCACAACCTGGATTGGACCCAATCGAACATCTCTGGAAAGACCTGAAATAGCTGTGCAACGACACTCCCTATCCAACCTGACAGAGCTTGAGAGGATCTGCAGAGAAGAATGGGAGAAACTCCCCAAATACAGGTGTGCCAAGCGTGTAGCATCATACCCAAGAAGACTCGAGGCTGTAATCGCTGCCAAAGGTTCTTCAACAAAATACTGATTAAAGGGTCTGAATACTTATGTAAATGTGATATTTCAGTTTTTTATTTTTTATAAATTTGCAAACATTTCTAAAAACCTGTTTTTGCTTTGTCATTATAGGGTATTGTGTGTAAAAAGTAAAGCGGTCTGAATACTTTTCGAATGCACTTTACCCACGCATCACTGTATTGTTGGGGATAAGACTGCAACAGGAGGGGGGGCTTAAAAATCGCAGGTTGGCATTTATTGGGATGACTCATGTGCTGGAGGCAGCCCTGCAGGCTAGTCACTAGCTGGCACAGCCACAAAGCCGTAAAATCTGATTTTAAACCTAACCCTAACTTTAACCCTAACATTAACCACACTGCTAACCTTATGCCTTAACCTTCAATTAAGAAACATTTTTAAGATAGGCTAGCAGCTGGCCCATCTAGTGGAAATCGCTCAGCTCTGCCTCCAGGACAAGATTCATCCCAATAAACGTCAACCTGCCCAAAAAAATTGCCCATAAAACATATCATGTGGTAATCGGTATGGATTACCAGTCAGTGAATCCCATATTGTCTATAATAGCCTATGTGGGCCATGGATGTCGGTCAGTCACACTACACGATATATCATATATGTACTTAAATGAGTATTACTTGAGAAAGATTGCATAAAGGGAGAATGATCACATACTGCAAAAGTGACATTCTAAGTTCCTGGATTCTGCCCTCAATTACTGCACAAGTCACAGTAAATCTTGGGATGATGAAGCACATTTAGAAAATGATGAGAGAAAAATGATGATGAATGATGTAAAACGAAGGAGAAAATGGATGATCGTTGGACAATGGATTCCTACTGTCGCTATCCTACTCACACAATCAGCAAGTACCCATAGCCTATCCAAAAAGCTTCTAACTGCTGTCAGAAAAACCCTCAAAGCTTAATTCACTAAAGAGTAACAAATGCCACATTGTCACATCTTTACCATCAATTACTAGATAAGCCTGAAAAGTAAACTTGAGAAACTTGAAGCCAAATAGATACATAAGCCTAATGTATACTGTGCATTTGTGAGAAGGAAATATAATATGTTGGACATGGACCACTGGTGCAACCTTTACCTGAGCTCAATTGGAAGTAAAGTTAATAACAAAACTATTAATCTCTCAGTGAAGTAGCTACTTTAAGTAGTTGGGAATCAGAAGACAATGCAATGGAAAACATAATTTAACTATTCTAATGCTCTTTCATTGGTAAGGAGATGTGCCTGGCATTTGTGTAGTAGACATGAAAGACAGATTCAGTGAATGAGAGATAGAAATATGTAAATAAATGCTGGATTACTTTGTCATTCTTTGCTCGGCTTGATTTTGATTCCAGACAAGGAATTCAGGGTCGTACCTATCAGGAGACAGGCAGAAAGAAAAAAAGGTAGGTGGGTGTCTCGCACAAAGGAGCTTGACAAGAATAAAATAATATTCATTTGACTGTCTTTCTTTCTTAACACTTTTCATATTACACACTTACACTGGATTCAGAACATGCACTAGGTGATTTTATTGTGGTCGATGGGGGTCCATTAAGGAGGGGGTCTTACAAAAACCAAGAAATGTGAGGATCAATAGCAGAGGTGCATAAAGATGGCGGCCCCATGCACTTACCACAAATTCCTTGTATTGCTAAATTCGCCGTATTATATTAATCTCTGTTACTCTTTTTTTGGTATGGTCATTGGCAGAGCATACATGACCCCAATGTTAGCTTTAAGCCGCCGGCAATTAGAAAAACTAAAAAGTAGATTGTGCTGATTTATTGGCACATTAAACCATGTTGCACGCCGTAGTTTAAAAACTCAGTGGCTAATGCTAAAACAATGATGTCATATCTTAATTTTGCCATCTTTATGCACGTTCGCCATTGTCTATCAGCTAGCTCAATTAAGGATTGTTCAGTCATCAGAACCATTATCATGGTTTGTGGAGAGACACGTTCTAGCAATCGTATTATTGTCTTACTTACATTTGGATAGATGTTTTAAGAATATGCTTTCCTATGGTTTACGATTCTCTGCTAAATAGTGACATTGATTATACCCTGCAAACAACCATTGACCATTCGGAAAGTTGTAGCCCTTTCCTGCAGTCAAATGACAATAGGGGGTTTAAAGGGTGTGTGGATGCGTGTGTGTGTGTGTGTGTGTGTATGTGTGTGTTTGTGTGTGTCTCAGTCACCAGATCTCAACCCAGTTGAACACTTATGGGAGATTCTGGAGCAGCGCCTGAGACAGCGTTTTCCACCACTATCAACAATACACCAAATGATGGAATTTGTCATTGAAGAATGGTGTCACATACCTCCAATAGAGTTCCAGTCACTTGTAGAATCTATGCCAAGGCGCATTGAAGCTGTTCTGGCGGTTCGTGGTGGCCCAATGCCCTATTAAGACCCTATATTGGTGTTACCTTCATTTTGGCAGTTACCTGTACATAGTCAATCAAATATAACATCCATAATTGTGGTTGAGTATTTGTTGAGTAATACATTGTTTCGCTTGTTGATTTTGAACATTATTCATTAAAACACTTAATCAATTTCTATTATTTCATTGCTTCGTTAATGCACAATATCGGCCTAGTTTTTCCACAATTAATTGAAATGAAGATAGATTGGGGACCTGTTTTGGTGAGACCCACCCTTTAACAATAATGAATATGAAGTAACCAAATAAAAGGGAAGAATTTCTCATTTTGAGATTACTGTTATTGACTGTGCATGTTATGAAGTTGGTTGCAGCCAGCAATGCATAATCACAAGTAAATCCACTGAAAGAGTGTGCAAATGCCAAATGTAATGCCAGAGCTAAGGAAAACAATTTAAATAAACAGACAGTACAGGGATGGTGAATGAAGAAAACGGAACAGGATAAATCAAAGTCATGAAATTGTAGAGAATGCAAACACAGATTCCTGTATTCCTGTTTTCTCTGATAACTCTTTAATTAGTGTGTATTCCTAGTGATTAAACATAGTGTTGTTGTTACTGACATTGACAGTAATGCTGTTGGTTTTTATATTTGCTCTAAAGGAATAAACTCCTTGATCAGACCCAAACAAAAGCAACTCTGATAGTACAGCAATACAGCCATACAGCTTATGAATCAAAGCCACTCCCAGTGACACATTTTATGACACAAACACACACACACACACACACACACACAAACAAACATACACACACACACACACACACACACACACAAACACAAACATTTCAACGACACAAGGTGAAGGGAGAAGGTAAGGTTTAACACAAGCTTCATGTGCCCTCCAAATAACAGTGGTGGTGTCATTCAAGGCATAGTGGTACTGACAGGACTTCAAATCAAACAGCGGAGATATTGGGAGGCAGTGATGTGATGTGGACGTGTGCTGAAGGAGAAGAGAGGTGTGTTTTAAATAGCAGTGCTATAGCGGCACTTACCTGGGATCCTTCTGTATACTGTCGACAGATGGTGAGCGGGCCAGTGCGGCCTCTGGTGGCAGGGCAGGGCCAGACTTGCTGTAGGGAGACTCGGTAGACGGGCAGAACTGGAGAGTGCGGTACGGGTTGGCGTAGTCCGCAGCCGAGGCAGTGGCAAAGCTGCTTCTCTGGTACGGCAAAGTGCCTGAGGCATTCTGGCTGCCTGTACGCTGCAAGGGGATGGAGTCAACACCGGGGGAAGATGGGGCTATGGCAGGAGGGAAGTAGGGACAGAGCAGAAAGTTCAGGACCTGTTCACAAAACTGGTTTACTGGGTCTAGGCAGAGGAATGAGTAAGACCACACAGTGAGAAGAGAAACAGAACAAGAGGGCGAAAGCAAAGTCAAAAATGATCATTTAATTGAATTAATTTCAATACTTCCCAGCAGCATCTACTAAGAAACTATAATATAGACAGAAAACCAGAAAAATAAAAGTGTCCGGAAAAAAAAGCAAACTTTCAGGACAGTTATCTTATATGAATTATGACGAATGAATGCACCAAATGTCACTGTGTCAAATTAAAGTTAGTGCCTGTCAAATTAACCCAGAATTGACAAAATGGCCATGACAAGAAGTGGGCATTCTGTAGATAGATGATTATTCACTCTAATAGGACACAACAGATTGATCTCTCTCAGAATATTGAAAAGGCTTTGGCCAGCAGTTCACTGTGAAATGTATTTTTTACAAAATTGTGTTAGTTATGTATTTGATGTTGATGCAACGTTTTTGGACAACCAAATGAGCAAAAAACAACATTAAACCAGTAGATGCAACATTTTGCCCAGACGGTTGCCCGAAGGGGGTGAAAGATTAGGTCGAGCATCAGCAGAAGGATACAGTACTGTACAGAAGGCTGTGAGGATATGAGCCAACAGCCTTCATCCACAATCTGTACCATCTCAACCCATGCTCAATGAAACACCAGTAAGAAACACAGTATTCCCTCAGGTCTTTCATAATTTAGTAGCCTGCAGTCTTTACAAACAGGAAGCAAGATTGTAATTCCAATTCCCTAGCCTTTAGGAAACTATAAAGCTTTTCAGATCGTATAGTAGGATTTCATCATATGCAGTGACGTGAGGCGGAATTTCTGTGGAGGGGATACACATGCTCATTAAATAAACTATTAGGCTAAATACTGTGGAAAGCATTTGATCATGGTGTCTGCCTCAGACTCAGTTTTCAATGCTTGAGTTTAAATTCTGCGAGAATAATTTAGATTTATTCCTGTCTAATATCTAATTATCTAATGATATGTGATTGTGATTGCTATCAAGATACTAATCGGATTTGCATAACTGAACTGAAAAATTTAGATAAACGATCTGATGGCGTGATAAAAATGCAAATGTTGTTTTTGATCATTAGCGTTATTTGCAGGAAAACCACCATTTAAAGGCCCACCTAAGTTCCACCTGAATGATAAGCTAAATGTTGAAATACCTGCTTCCTTACCTTTTGGGTTTGTTGTGTTTGCTTAATTCCCATCTAATTCTGATGTTATACAATGTATTGTTGCTTTGAGTAAATTCTCCCTATCAAGGATTAATCAAGTGCTGACACAGAACTTCAAAGAACCAATAAAATATAAGTATCTACTGAGAATGCATTTGGCTCTTGAACCGCTCATTGAATGATAACCCTCTCAAACCAACAGTGGAATATTAACATTTAGTTGGTCAAAAGAAGTGGGTGAGTCCGACAAAAGCCTAGTAAAATATAAGGGGATGCCCAGTGCAGCAGGGCAGGGGCTCTGGACCGTCTGACTCACCCTGGTTCTGATTGAGACTCCTAAGAGAAGGCTTCTGGTAGACCCTGTCCTCGTAGATGGGGTCAATGTGGTGCTCAGGAGACTGGAGAGGTCGCAGCTCTGAGCCCAGGTGACTGTGCTGGCTGCTATAGGAGCCCCTGGATCCTGAACACCACAACAAAAACACAGGAAACATCATTACATGGTTCCAAACCACAGGAGGCTAGCGGCACCTTAATTGGGGAGGACAGGCTCATAGTAATGGCTGGAACAGAATAAATTGAATGGTATATAACACATGGTTTCCATGTGTTTAATACCATTCCATTCACTCCATTTTAGCCATTATTATGAGCCGTCCTCCCCGCAGCAGCCTCCTGTGTTCCAAACATGGTTAATAACATCTAGTATTATCAAGTCCATTAACTACAGCATTTAGAGTAATTTGAGAAAACATATATATCACAACTGAGCAAGAGGACAAATACATTAGAGTGTCTAGTTTGAGAAACAGGCGCCTCACAGGTCCTCAACTGGCAGATTCAATAAATAGACCCCGCAAAACACCAGTCTCAACGTCAACAGTAAAGAGGCGACTCCGGGATGCTGACCTTCTAGGCAGAGTTGCAAAGAAAAAGCCATATCTCAGACTGCCCAGTTTAATCTTTTCTTTTTATTGGCCAGTCTGAGATATGGCTTTTTCTTTGCAACTTTGCCTAGAAGGTCAGCATCCCGGAGTCGCCTTTTTACTGTTGACGTTGAGACTGGTGTTTTGCGGGGTCTATTTATTGAATCTGCCAGTTGAGGACCTGTGAAGCGCCTGTTTCTCAAACTAGACACTCTAATGTATTTGTCCTCTTGCTCAGTTGTGCACCGGGGCCTCCCACTCCTCTTTCTATTCTGGTTAGAGCCAGTTTGCGCTGTTTTTATTTAACTAGGCAAGTCAGTTAAGAACATATTCTTATTTACAATGACAGCCTACACCGACCAAACCCGGACGACGCTGGGCCAATTGTGCGCCGTCCTATGGGACTCCCAATCACGGCCGGTTGTGATACAGCCTGGAATCGAACCAGGGGGTCTGTAGTGACGCCTCAAGCACTGAGATGCAGTGCCTTGGACCGCTGCGCCACTCGGGAGCCCAACATTAACAATGTCTACACTGTCTACACTGTATTAACAATGTCTACACTGTATTGCTGATCAATTTGATGTTATTTTAATGGATTTTTTTTGTGCTTTTCTTTCGAAAACAAGTACATTTCTAAGTGACCCCAACCCTTTGAACGGTAGTGTATAAAGACATTATCTCTCTGTCTGAGCCTGTGAACCCACCTGCCAGGCTGCCAGGCCTCCCGAGGGTGGCGTTGGCATACAGCTCGTGGGAGATCTTGTACTGGTCCGAGGAGTGCTGCATGCGCTTGGTGGGGGACAGGGTAGCGTAGTTACCCACGGTAGAGCTGAATTGATGGAGTGGAGACGAGCCCAAGGCATTGCCTGAAGAGGCCATGTGCAGTGGGGACGTGGAGGACAGCCCAGCAGACCCAACCACCATGTTTATGGGGGAGCTGGTGCTGTAGGACTTGGCCAGCCGGCTGGGGGACTGCTTGGGTGAGGAGACCCGCTGCAGGGTAGCGTAGCTGGGCATGTCAGAGGCGGAGCCCAGGCGCTGAAGCTTGGTGGGCGAGCCCACGGCCTGGATGGATTGGGGGGAGCTCACACGTTGGGCAGGCAGGGTGGAGCAAGAGTAGTACATGGAAGGAGTGGGCGGGGCGTCAGGCATGTGGAAGGCGCTGCCATGGCCCTGGGCAAACGACTCTCTGTCTCTGGACTGGGAGGAGTCTACACTGGCAGCCAGCTGGGCGGCACGGCTAGACGTCACCTGGAGAGACACAGAAAGAACCTTAGATCTTACACCTACATCACATGCCATCTTGAAATCCAGACTATACAGCAAAGAGGCTAAATTATCACTGACCGAGCCAATCTAGGAGCCCGTTCCAAATGGCACTCTATTCCTTAGTCCACTACTTTTGACCAGGGCTCTAAGTCTCACCCACCTGGTTGTAACTGTGGACTGCCCCACCCACCTGGCCGCTGCGGGGCGGGGCCTCTAGTGCCTGGTTGTTGTGGTAACCGGCTGGGTAAGAGAGTGATCCATCCTGATTGTTGAGCTGTAGTGCACTCTGGGATAGCAGGCCTTGTCCTGTTTGGGGCAGAGAGAATAGTGGAGCTGAAATATTGAGACAACCTCTTACCCTCTGTCTCTATATCCCCCACCCTCTCTTTTACCAGTCTCTCTCCCAGTCTCTCTCTCATATGACGTCTGAGGGTTGAATGTGATTCTCGGAGGCACTTCTCCAGAAGAGGGAGGGAGGAGAGGAGAGGGAGAGAGAGAGAGAGAGAGAGCGAGAGATGAGAGAAGAGGAGCGAGGGGAGAAGAGAGAAGACTATATGCCATACTAGAGAGCGAGAGAGAGACGAGACCTCCATGGTAGCTCAGGCTGATCTCTCTCTCTCTCTCTACTCTCTCTCTCCTCGCTTAGCTCTCTCTAGGACTCTCTCTCTCTCTCTCCTCTCTCTCTCTCTCTCTCTCTCTCTCTTCTCTCTCCTCTCTCTCTCTCTCTCTCTGACCCAGAAATGGAGAGAGTGAGAGCATGCATAATGGGACAGGAGGAACTGGGAGTCACTGAGCACAAATGGTGCAGAATGAGGCCAACAATAAAGGTTAGCCTTCAATTCAAATAGTAACACTAACGTCAGCATTTGATTTCCATAGGCCTATATTTTCATTACATCAGCAATAGGATTCAGTATATTGTATTTTATATAAAAGACACAGAGCAAAAGAGTTGTAATAAAATTAGTGCACACACAAAAACAAATCAAATTTACTCTACACTACAGTATAGTAGTATACTATTTTCTGCAATATAGCTGTGAGTGCAGTGCGTGTCACTAAGTAAAATGCTGTGAACCTGTTTCCGTGTGACCTGTTTCAGTGTGACATGTTTCAGTGTGACCTGTTTCAGTGCTCTACACTGCTCTCAATCTGTAAGACTTCCTCCCTTGACTGCCTTCACACCTTCCTCTGCTTTTACTCTCACATCCATGTTGTTCTGGCAACACCGACCTCATTTTGACATTCGCGTGGAGTCACTGGCAATTTGTGCCCAATAACTGCCTCTGGCACACACACATGCGCACGCAAATACACACAGACTTTCTCTCTGTCACTAGCACTGAACATGTTGTCATAAGTGACTCTATTGTTTAACAAGTGACATTCATCTAATAGCGGCTGTATGAAAATGACCACAGAAATGTTTCTGCAACCACTTCAGGCTGTTACATACGTGCATTGGAGCATTTAAGTCGTTGAGTATTTCTTAAATACATAATCATGTCAATGGTAGTGAGTCTTTGAGAGAGGATTTCAGGCAGGAAAGTGAATATTACAGGAGCTTTCTTAGAAGAGTCCATTTGTGGTGTGTGTGGTAAAGCCAAGTAGTCCAGCAGACCAGAGGAATATCCCTGGCATGGTGATCGCTCAGGGTGGGGCTCCTTTATTCATCTAGTCTATGACCTGCATTCTGTATAAACACATTTCAATATTTCATCAAGACGCAATTTTTAGCTTCACTGCTCGAGAGGGGAGTAAGATGGGTGTGCAAACATAGTCTATGAGATGCGCGCATGCACACGCACGTACGTACACACACAGACGTGCGCAAAACACACACACACAAGTGCGCATCACACACACACACACACAAACATACACACACACTGGGCATAAAGCCTACTAGTACTATCTGAAAATGGTCTACCTTTCTAGCCCCAAAACTCGCTGCTCTTTTCAGCAGATTGAATATGAACGCGATTGCTTTTGTAGTGGCTGATTTGAAACTGTATTCCTCGTACACGTGTTCTCTGTTATGCTCAAAGGAAGCCGCTGACACCTCGGCGAGACATCATTTCCATATCAAACCCTTGACATATGCTGAATCTACCCTGAAAGATAACCCTCTCTCAGTGACTCTTAGTAGAAAGATGAAGATCATCGCTTGGATCAAATGAAGTGAGGGCATTTGGGACTGGTAGAAAAAGGAAAACAACTGTTTTGAATACAGAACGCAGAGGTGATAAGAGACTCAAACACCTGCGGTATCTAGTTCCTGATTGAAACATTCAGTCATTGACATCACTCAGGGCTCTACAAAAGAGAGACCTATCACCTAGCATTTCTGTATCTGGTTGATTTTGTACAGATCATTCTTGACATTTTTCTTGACATTTATTTTGAATATTGATAAGCATAATCAGTTCTAAAAATGTCTAAGTTGAAAAAGTGTTGCAGTGAACTTAGCTTTCATTTTGCACGTCAAGCTATTTGTCTATTTCTAGTGAATTTGTGAATTCGAAAATATGTTATCTATAGTAAGGATACAATGTAATTAAACTTTGAAATCAAATAATTTTACAACGCTTTTTAAAAAGGTACTAAACAATATATCTAAAAGCAGTTCAAAAAATAATTTGCACTGCACAAGGTAAGGAGCGTCCTTACTGTCGCCTGTGGAGAATTCCTGGGAGTCAAGGATCCCAGATTCCTGGAGTGACCTAATGCAGGAGTCCACCAGCTCCAAGCCGGTCGTCAGTTCTTCCTCAATGTCCTTCTGTCCGTCTGTGGAGACACAGCAATGAATAGAGAAGCAGGATTAGTGTTCAGTTACCTTAAAAATACTCCCAAGTTTACAAAAGGCTAGAGTTTACTACAGACACACTCTGATGGCCAAGTGGTAGTGACCATGCTAGATAAGGCAAAAGCTCTGTAACTTCACTATACACTGAAATCTGTCTCTGCCGTGCCGTACCTTCTCCTTGTCTATCTGTTTGTTCTTACCTACAGTAACTGACATACTTGTCCTCTGTCTAGTGTCATCAGTATGGCAAACAGTGGCAAGGGATAAGGCCTTACACAAGAGGTTTAAGATCAGGATTAATCTCTCATCTAAGGCTGAGGCTACTGGCAGCAGACACTTAGTCCTCTACCCTATTAGAGTCATAATGATGATTACTGGTGTTTTAACTCAGGGATAATTCTGTTTGTGCAACATTTTTCTAAACTCATCAAAAACATTTTTCAACTCATCCATCAGTGGAACTTTCCCAGAGTCGATGACTTAGGAGAAGCAGAATCCTGAACATGACTTGCAGTCATAAATCTTTGACATTTTAGTCATTTAGCAGACACTCTTATCCAGAGCGACTTACAGGAGCAATTAGGGTTAAGTGCCTTGCTCAACGGCACATCAACAGATTTTTCACCTAGTCAGCTCGGGGATTAGAACCAGCAACCTTTCAGTAACTGGCACAACGCTCTTAACCAGTACGCTACCTGCCGCCGCTTCAATGATCAAATCCTAGACTACCTGTGTTTGATACTTTAGAAGACAAGGGTGTGTTCTGTTGTTCATACTTTGCTTTAAGCCCATCAATATAGTCTCAAGTAGATGTGCAAATTTCACACCGGACTGACAAGACAGAACAGCAACAGAGCTGTGTCTATCTGACAAATGATGACAGCTGTCCGGACCTAGGAGCTAGGCATGGTCCACTCCACTCTACTCTCAAGATACACCTATCCTTACAATGTACACAATTCAACTGAGGTTGTCACATGCTCTGTCACATAACACAAAACCAGATGCATTGGATGTCAAATGTACATACCTTGGTTATTCCAGCGAAACTTCTCATCCGCTGAACTGAAAGAGAGAAAGAAACAGAGCATGGTCAGAATAGAAAAACAGCAAACCATCTTCCTCTGCCGTAGCATCCTAATGGCCCAGCCTTGAGCATTACCTGGTGACTGGGACATTTTCATCTATTTTATTCTCCATGAATTCTGTACACATCCACATGAACTCACAGTAACTGTAATATATGTGTACCTCGCAATGATAATTCCCTGTTTAGAGACAGAGAGGGAGGATAAGGTTTGGATGAGATGCTGCTACAGTAACACTTGGCTCTGTCCCCAGTCTGTACGTCTGTGTGGCATGACTAGGTTACAGTACTGTAGAGCAGAGCAGAGCAGAGTTTACTAGGAGTTGGGCTGACTGCAGGGATCCCTTCCTCCTTTAGTCTGGTCAACATGGTGTATTCTGTCAGAGTAGCCCAGCCAGCCAGTGCAGCACTAAGCCTGAACGGGGTCTCCCTCCAGGAGGGAGGGGAGTGGGGTACACAACACACCACCTAGAGAGACACGTGGTCTTGGGAGGACAAGCTTTCAGAGCCGCCACTGCCCCCAACTCTCTCCTCTCCCCCATAGCCGACCACGCCACCCTCCTCTTCTTTTCCCTCATAGCCACCCACCCCTCCCCTCCCCCAACACTTCATCAAAAGGTACTGTGTCCCTCTGCTGCCCCTCTTCCCATGGGCCATGGAGAGGGTGACACAAATTAACAATGTAGCCATGAAAACACCACCTACAGGAGCAAGGCAAGGTCACACAAGACACAATTAACACATAACAATGAAATGCAACTCACTGCTGTTTATGGAGACCTTCAGTATTGTCTGTAATGATTCTGCCAGCATTTTGAGGTTACAAACTGGGGTGCTTCATTTTATGTAGGCTATATTTCTAATTCTACATGAGTGGATGCCTTTTCTCATTTGCAAAATGACTCCACACTGAAAAATAAACTGGCTGCCCTCTCATCAGAGCAGAGATGTAGCACTCACTTCTGTCTTCATGAAGTGCTTTGAGAGGCTAATTAAGGATCATATCACCTCTACCTTACCTGACACCCTAGACCCACTTAAATTTGCTTACCGCACTAATAGATCCACAGACGATGCAATCGCCATCGCACTGCACACTGCCCTATCCCATCTGGACAACAGGAATACCTATGTAAGAATGCTGTTCATTGACTATAGCTCAGCCTTCAACACCAAGCTCATCATGGTCCTCTGTAGCTCAGCTGGTAGAACACGGTGCTTGTAACGCCAGGGTAGTGGGTTCGATCCCTGGGACCACCCATACACAAAAAAAATGATGCACGCATGACTGTAAGTCGCTTTGGATAAAAGCGTCTGCTAAATGGCATATTATTATTATTAAGCTCGGGGCCCTGGGTCTGAACCCCACCCTGTGCAACTGGTTCCTGGACTTCCTGATGGGCTGCCCCCAGGTGGTGAAGTTAGGAAACAACACGTCCACCCACAAGGGTGCGTGCTCAGCCCTCTCCTGTACTCCCTGTTCACCCATGACTGCATGGCCACGCATGCCTCCAACTCAATCATCAAGTTTGCAGACGACACAACAGTAGTAGGCCTGATTACCAACAATGACGAGACAGCCTACAGGGAGGAGGTGAGGGCCCCACAGAAAGTGTGGTGAAGAAGAAGCAACAGCGCCTCTTCAACCTCAGGAGGCTGAAGAAATTCAGCTTGGCCCCTAAGACCCTCACAAACTTTTACAGATGCACAATTGAGAGCATCCTGTCGGGCTGTATCACCGCCTGGTACGGCAGAGGGTGGTGCGGTCTGCCCAATGCATCACTGGGGGCACACTGCCTGCCCTCCAGGACACATACAGCACCCGATGTCACAGGAAGGCCAAAAAGATCATCAAGGACAGCAACCACCCGAGCCACACCCTGTTCACCCCGCTATCATCCAGAAGGTGAGGTCAGTACAGGTGCATCAAAGCTGGGACCGAGAGACTGAAAAACAGCTTCTATCTCAAGGCCATCAGACTGTTAAATAGCCATCCCTAGCCGGCTACCACCCGGTTACTCAACCCTGCACCTTAGAGGCTGCTGCCCTATATACATAGACACGGAATCACTGGCCACTTTAATAATGGAACACTAGTCACTTTAATAATGTTTACATACTGCTTTACTCATCTCATATGTATATACTGTATTCTATTCTACTGTATTTTGGTCAATGCCACTCCGACATTATTCGTCCTAATATTTATATATTTCTTTAATTCCATTCTTTTACTTTTAGATTTGTGTGTATTTTTGTGAATTGTTAGATACTACTGCACTGTTGGCGCTAGGAACACAAGCATTTCGCTACACCCGCAATAACATCTGCTAAATATGTGTATGTGACTAATACAATTTGATTTGATTTGATGTGCAGAGAGTGCTTCTTCAGCAAGCCAGCTAGCGCAGAGACTCCTAGAGGGTGTAGTTATTCCTGATGTCGTATTACCTCTAGGTGTTGACGCAGTCAGCCCAGTCAGTAATACACTTGTGTCCCCCATGGACCGGCTCGTACATAAAACATCCTCCATTCAGGCTGCAAAGTCAGTTTCCTCCTAAACTCTATTTAATAGCTCGTCAGTGGTAAGAAAACAAGAAAATATGCGTACTGTCTTAATAAAACACAATTCTCCACCACCATGATAGGGTGGCTAATGTTGCGGTATGCCTTCAGCCAGGGTTAAACAGACTCACGTGGTATGCAACATCCAAAAATGGTGGTGGAAAATTGTTTAAGTAAGACAGTATGCATATCTTCCCAGTTTCCCCCCCCCACCGCCATCAAATCGAGTTAAGGAGGAAACTGACACCTTTGCAGCCAGAATTGAGAATGTTTTATGTATGAGCCGGTCCATGGGGGACACGAGTGTATTACCGGCTGAATACATTAAAGTAGGACGTAAGATGACAAACGACGTAAAATAAATAATAGTGCCATCCTGCGGCCGGTTGGACTACCAGCCAGCAGCCTTAATCATTTTCATGGGCCGATATGTTGATGTAGTCGCTAAACCGGGGCCGTCATTTGGAGCAGGTTGGCATTTATTTTATGACTAAAAATGTAAATGTATTGGGATGACTCATGTACTGGAGGCAGCTTTGCAGGGTAGTCACTAACTAGCACAGCCACAAAATCTGATTTTAAACCTAACCCTAATTGTAACACTAACCACACTGCTAACCTTATGCCTAATCCTAACTTTAAATTAAAACCAAAAAGCACATTTTTGTTTTCATGCATAGATAGACAATTTTGACTTTGCCACTGGCCCATCTAGTGGAAATCGCTCGGCTCTGCCTCCTGGACAAGATTCATCCCAATAAATGTCAACCTACTCATATATGGACTATAATGTCAGATAACCACACTGGGATCGATGGGAGATTATCTCTGATCTGGAGCACACAAACAAAAATCATAATAACTATGGATTCACTGGAAATGGGAGCTTGAGAGGGGTATTGAGCTCTGCTGCTCCTCCGTCCCTTAATCAATGTGAGAGTATCACAGCGATGGCAAGCCCGACGCTAGCTGCATCAGAGCTCAGCCGCCACTGTTATCACCAGGCTAAATGGTCATTCACCGGCCCTTTGGCCAAGTAGCAGCTGCTATATCATCCCATAGATTTCTCCTCCGCAGAGTGTGTGAGGATTCATATTGTGAGGCTCTCTCTGTTTACACTGCGGTGACGAATTGCCAGAGAAAACAAATGCCATATGTTAATAGGGGCTCTGCATCGGCCGCGAGTACTCATTCATCACGCCCTCTTTATTGAACTATACACACACACAGAACCGCACCGGCACAGGGCAGGGGAGGAAGAGAGGAGAGGGACAGTGTTTTGGGCTTGAGTGGCCTCTCACAGAGACACTCTGCTTGTCTGAAAGGATGGCTGATAATAACCAGTACCTCCCATCTCACTCCTGTGTTTGCCTCAATAGTTTCCCACACATTTTTGAACTTCATGTTGGTTACTGTGACATACCTGCAGGCCTACATCTCAGTCTACAAGCTCTAAAACTACTAGGCTTTACTGAGACATGACTCGACAGAAATAGAAGCTATAACAACCCACTTTCATCCAAGATCTGTTGCATCTAACGTTCTTTATTCCACAATCTTTCTACCCTCTGTGTGCAAACGGCAGGTTAAAGTCTATCTTTAAATAGCTAATTGAACTTTAGCTCAAAACAGTTTCTCATATTGATTTACTACTACACAATCAATCCAATCTGTCTGGATAATTAACTATAAAAGAGAGCGTAATTGATGGTGTGATTAACTGGTGCTGCAGCTGCAGGTCACTGTCTATATTCTATCAGTTAATCACCGTTAATCACACTGCTTTTATGGAGATGTGCTGGATATTGAGAGACAATCGAAGGCCCAGTTACATTCCCATGATGAGATCGTTAATATCAACCCTCTCTCATATAATTATGTTGGTGGTAATTAAGAAAATATACATACTGTAGATAAGCTATTATTATAGTAGCAAAGTGTAGAGCTGGTGTGTGTGTGTGTGTGTGTGTGTGTGTGTGTGTGTGTGTGTGTGTGTGTGTGTGTGTATGCATGCGTGTGTGTGTGGATATTGGAATGTTAGTGCTGAGAGCAGCACTGTAAACTGAGGACAGGAAGAGTAAGGTTGAGTTCAGTGTTAGAGCAGTTAAAGATAGAACTGTAAGCAATGGCTTAAACAACCGGAGGAGGTTATGCAGCGCGGCAGCAGGGCAGCAGAACACTCTCCTGTTTCATCATCCCTGGCCTGTAGGCCTAGCTATTTGACTTCTATTTTAACAGGGAGTCACCATTGAGACTCTTTTGCAAGGGAGCCCCAATGGAGCCCTGCTCCTGCACTCCTCTACTCCAAAGAGCCTGCTCTTTCTCTACAACTCCCTCCCTTCCCCTCACTGAATATACAGTACAGTGAAGGAACATTGAACAACACTTTCCCAGTACAAACCCTCTCTCCCACAACATGCATGTGAGGGAATGCTGTCATGACTTGCCCTCATGGGTTAGGATCAAACATGCCGGCTAGGCAAAGGTTTGAACACCCCCTCTCCTGGGGGCCAGTTTTATGACCGGTCGTAAAATACCGTGCAGACTTTCTCTTCCTTGCCATGAAGTATTGGGAGAAAGGACCCCTTTGTTAACAAAGGAAGTCTTCATGCCAAGACTCCAACATCCAAAAGTGGATAATGAAACAATATTCTTACTTAAAAGAATGTGGGAAATGGTTGGTGGGGACTTAAAGAACAATCATGTCAAATTCGTTACTATGTTGTGATGTCATTAAAGACAGTGGAACAACGTAACTGTACCTCTGGGGGGCTACACTTCCCAGTTATGAGATTTGCATCTAATTATTGTATAAAACGAATGATTAAGTATAATAATACTTTTGTGAAGATAACAATGTGATTTTAGCATTCTACATGAGATGATTGTTTTCCATATTGATTTGTTCTCAGTCAGTGGCCACGCCCAGATGAGCACAAACATGATGGAACACCCTTTTACCCCGAGTGCATAAAAAGCCTCGTGATGAAATTCACCTCAGACCAGCAGATGTGAAGCGTGAGCTAAACGTTGCAAAATGATTTAAAACTACAACTCCATTACCAAAGGAAGACCAGCAGACGTGAAGCGTGAGCTAAACGTTGCAAATGGTTGAATTTCTACCAGACCAGTAAGCCCCATGGCTTAAAATGGTTGAAACTCTACAGACCAGCAGACGTGACGCGTGAGCCAAACGTTGCAAATGGTTGAATTTCTACCAGACCAGTAAGCCCCACGGCTTAAAATGGTTGACACTCTACAAGTCCAGCAGACGTGAAGCATGAGCTAAACGTTGCAAATGGTTGAATTTCTACAAGACCAGAAAACGTGAGACGTTAGTCCACACGTTTGAAATGGAGAAACTCTGAAACTCTCAACCTCTACAGGGGGTGAAGAAGAAGACAATGCACTAGACCTTATCATTTCAGTCTGCAGCTGGCATGTATAGTCGTCTAGACAACTTTCACTAAAGACACGAGAGGAGAGGACAATCCCTCTCAGACAACCTCTGGTACATCTGAAGTATCCATTCTAACCACCACTACGACCAGAAACTCTACCAAGGACATTGAGATCTCTGGTGGGAAAACCAGAGTCCTACATCATCAACTCAACTATCGAGGACAGTAAATACATGTTGCATTTCTAATCCGAATGAGCGATTATTAGGGTGCATAAGTATTATGATTACTGTGAGTGCAGTTTCCAAAGTAACTACGATAGTTTGAATCTCTGTCTCTCCCTTCCATTCTGACCCCTCCACTACCCAAGCATTCATGCTAATGTTAGTCCAGTCCACTAGGGACCTGTTTCATTTTATTACGTTAGTAATCAATAACCTATGTGTGTTTGTATTGTGTTATTATTTAGTTAGTTAGTAAATAAATAATTAAGCCAATCTGTGTATTGCTGATTCATCAATAAGGTTAGGGTTCTTGCAGGTTCAAGGATTATGCGACGTTCAGAATGAGACTGATAAGAGGTAATTATTTGATAAGTGACTGTTATCGATATATAACCTATATATATATTCTAAGAGTTTAATTCAGGAGATGGTAACTCATTAAACAACTTCTTCTGTGGTGCCCCAAATTCCTAATGAGTTAATTGTTACATGATTAATTTAATCGAGTGACAATTAAACATAGTTAGGTGATTCGATAAATAACAGTCATACATTAAAGTAAGTCACGTCACGACAATGCATTGCATTCACATCATGCATGGCATGAGAGCTCATCAGAAGCGTTCCTATTTTTTCTGTGCAAATACTGTACAGATGAAAGCATCAATATTGCAATGTGCCTCGTGTCCCGTGTGGCATTTAGATACCGCAACTCACACTCCTCCAATGCAGATCTTGATCAATCATTCATTCAAATGGGTCTGAGGAGGGAGGATGAGTAGTATTCCCATTCCCAACCACTGCCCCCTTATGATGTGTGAGAGGCTGTGACAGTGTAAAGAATATGCAGGGAGCAATCCATTGTTCTCTACAGATGAATGTGAAAGGAGAGACCAGAGGAGACCAGAAGAGATCACGGCCTGAGCAGGGCCACACACTGCTAGGGGTCAACGTGGCAGGTCCACACAGAGGACAGGCAGAGGAGGACGCCCTAATATGCAGTAATGGAGCTACTCACTGACTGGAGAGCGGAGAGATAACAAATCTAGTACAAAGTAGTCCCCCACTCTATTCTATAAAAAGGCATAGTACCTGTCTGACAGCCTACCTTGTAATACTGTAGGATAGCATGTGTGGAAGACTACTTTGTCCTAGTAACATCTAATGGTGGCAGTGGGCAAAGAGTTCAACATTATGTGCTTAAATATAAATAGCAGAGTAGCTAAACACATATTATTGTGTTTAACTAAATTGTTAGGATATCTATTTCTGCAGGTGTGGCCACCCCTCTCATTTGAACAGAGAGTATGTTGCCAACAGTGAGAGCTAGACTAAAAGAGATGCTTGAGAGAGGGGTATGGTTTTACCTCATCACTTACATCCGCCCACTCAGTGTAGTATCCACTCAGAGGGTGCTGCACTGCACTGGTGGTGTCAGTGTCATGATGAGAGGGATTCCATGAGATGGTACAAATGAGTACATCCCAAAGGTAGTCATTCACTAAAAGAGCTGAGACACCCCCAGCGTCCATTACAAGAGCGGGCGAGCAAGCGATCATGCTCATCATACCTCCCATAGCACGAGAGAGAGAAAGAGAGAGCGGGAGAGAGAGAGAGAGAGAGAGAGAGAGAGGTTAAAAACAGAGAACGGCTTAGCCACAGTGAATAAAGCCAGAGATAGAGGATAGAAATTCGGTCATTTTATCCGTTCAATAAACACATTTGGAATCCAATTATAATGCATTTATAATTTTTTTCCTCATCTTGGATAATATATTTTATCAGGGCTGGGCACAATGGGGACTATATCCCTAGTGTGCAGTAGTGCATTGAAATACACTAGAGTGAGAAGCTAGGGTCTGTGACTGTGAGAAGAGGTAAACAGCCCTGATGGAAATGAATTCTCCCTCATTTAAATCCCAGGAGAAACAGATCAACTGGGGGAAATCTGCTGAGTCAAGGAAGTGGGAAGCTTCGTTACGGTGAAGGTTAGCCAGGCAGTTCCTGTGAGGAAGGAAGGAAAGAAGCCAGGCATGTCCTTGGATCGCCATGGTGACCCTTAATTACTTGTTACCTGCGCAGATAGAACACTCTTCTGTATCCCAAATAGCACCCTATTCCCTCTGTAGTGCACTACCTTTGACAGGGTAGTGTACTATATAGGGAACAAGGTGCCATTTGGGACACACCCTCTCTCTCTGAATAGGTGCTCAATGTTGTATTTCAACATAGTCTGAAAACAACAAAACAGTAATTCCCACAGGCTTCGGATATAGGTTGTTTTCAATAAAAGGTCACAATACGTTCGATTTGTCTGCTGGTGGGACAAAGAGACTCCCAGCTCCGCTAAAACAATTGACGACTACGTGATGTTTTCAAGGGTGTCAGGGCGACGTGTATGCTGTGAGCGAAGTCAAGCACAGGACACCGAGCTACTGGCAGACAAACCTTACTAGCACAGTAATAAAAATACAAACAAAACCTCCAAACAGGGAGGAACAAAATACGCATACACCCGAACACTGCCGACCTCACGGAAAACAATCACACACAATAACCAATGAGAGACAGGGGGTTATAAAGGGAATACAATGTAACATAATGGGAAACAGGTGAAAACAATCAGGACAAACTAGACAAACACCGAAACATAGATCGGTGGCAGCTAGTACTCCGGGGACGACGAACACCGAAGCCTGCCCGAGCAAGGAGGAGGGGCAGCCTCGGCTGATTCCATGACAAAGGGGTTGTTAAATAAATTGTTTAATATCATCACCTTTTGAGTATAGTCAGAACTTCAAATTACAGATTCTTCCACATTTAACTCATCAGAGTTATACAGCAAGTAACTGCATGCTTTTCATGATCAGTAAACATCAATTGATCATGTAATTTCAAATACGTTAAGGTAGCCTATCCATTTGGCATGTAGCTAGCTAAGCGAACAACATCATTTAGCTTACTTAATCAGAGATTAGGCTTCTGGAAAGAGCTTGACATCGGCAAGTCCTCGTCCTGGTAAAGTTGTCAGTCAGACTACTGTCATCACCACTATAGATAGAAAGCAAATCAAACAATATTTTGATATAGTCATCTAGTTTATCCCCTGAAAGTTCGCTTGTTAACTAGCTATATTGACATGATCTGTTATTAGCTATCTAGCCAATTTGATGTGGTCCATCAATCAATGTAGCCTATATAAGGTCTGTCAGCAGCAATCGTAATTAAACACACTTAAAAACAATGTTGAAAAGGGGATCATGTTAGCTAACTGCACTAGGTAGGCCTACATTGGTTGGAGAAAAAAGTACCTTAGGTCTACCTACCACTATGTTTAGCCAACTAACTTTCTACCGGTAGCTTGCAAAGTAAACATTATCAGCTAACAGTACCACGGCAAATGCGCCCTTCTGCTGCTTGACAGGCAGAGCCCACAAAAAATGGGAAATTAACCTAAACCACTCATACTTGTCAGGTTTAGTTCACTTTCATTTTATATCTCTCAAATATCCAATTAATGTTGGCCAATATTGAGCGATTGTCACTTGAACCGATGTGGATGTGGTGGAGGAGTCAGGCGCAGGACACAGAGGTTAAGTCCAACAGACTTTAATAGTCTAATGATTATGAGGAAAAAACCCGACCTCGAATAACACCAAGAGGCGAGGGAAAATTACGCACACGCGTAAACACGAAACAAAACAGAGTGCAAACACGTAGCTCTGACAAAGTGGCAGCAATAACAACACACAATCAGTCTAGTGCAAAAACACGGAACTTATAAGACACGTAATCAACACACAAATGGACACAGGTGTAACAGACAGACAAAAGCAATAAAATAACGAAACATAGAGCGGTGGCAGCTAGTACTCCGGGGACGGCGAACGCCGAAGCCTGCCCGAACCAGGAGGAGGAGCAGTCTCGGCAGAATCCGTGACAGTACCCCCCCCTTGACGCGCGGCTCCAGCCGTGCGCCGACCCCGGCCTCGGGGACGGCCAGGAGGACGCGGACCCGGGCGCGTGGGATGCCCACGGTGGAACTCAGTCAGGAGGGATGGATCGAGTATGTCCCTCCTGGGCACCCAGCACCGTTCCTCCGGACCGTACCCCTCCCACTCCACGAGATACTGGAGACCACTCATCCGGCGCCTCGAGTCCAAGATGGTCCGGACCCTGTACACCGGGACCCCCTCCCTTGTCCTTCTTCTTCACAAAGAAGAAACTCGAGGAGACCGGGGAAGTGGAGGACCGTATGTATCCCTGTGCCAAGGACTCGGCTATGTAAGTCTCCATAGCCGCTGTTTCCTCTTGAGACAGGGGATACACACGACTCCGTGGAAGAGCCGCTCCTGTTTGGAGATTTATCGCACAGTCCCCCTGTCTATGAGGAGGTGGCCGTGTTGCCCTCGATTTGCTGAACACGAGTGCTAAATCCTCATACTCAGGGGGAATGCGCAGTGCGGGCACTTGGTTCGGACTCTCTACCGAGGTCGCCCCTACGGAAACACCTAGACATCTCCCTACACACTGGGCAGACCACTCCATAAGAGCCCTCTGTTGCCACGCTATGGTAGGATCATGGGTGCTTAACCAGGGAAGGCCCAACACCACGGGGTACGCAGGAGAGTCAATCAGATAAAACTGAATGTTCTCCTCATGACCCCCCTGCGTCGTCATCGTCAGTGGTGCTGTGACCTCCCTGATCAGGCCCGACCCCAACGGCCGGCTGTCTAATGCGTGGACAGGAAATGGAGCTTCTACCGGCCGAAGGGGAATTCCTAACCTACAGCAAAATGCCCGATCAATAAAGTTCCCAGCTGCGCCTGAATCTACTAGCGCCTTATGCTGGGAATGAGGTGCCACCTGTGGAAATCTCACAGGAATACTCATGTGACCAACAGAAAGCTCTGGGTAAGTGGGGCGCCTACTCACCTGAAATGACTCCCCAGTGCGTGGCCTGTTGTCACCTCTCCCAGGAGACCCTCCCCAGCACCTGGCCGCGGTGTGTCCTCCACGACCACAGGTGGTGCAGGGGATGGCCCCCCTCGGGTTCCCTCTCCTCCTCTCTCTAGCGCCAGCACCCCCGAGCTCCATGGGAATCGGCTCGGAGGTGCTGGAGGGTGGAATGGACGACCCCCACTCGGGACGTCCGCGGGTAGCCAGCAGTGTGTCTAGACGGATGGAAATGTCCACCAACTGGTCGAACGACAGGTTGGTGTCCCTGCAGGCCAGCTCACGACGAACGTCCTCTCGTAGGCTACACCGGTAGTGGTCGATGAGGGCCCTCTCATTCCACCCCGCATCCGCCGCTAGTGTCCGGAACTCCAGTGCGAACTCCTGTGCGCTCCTCTTCCCCTGTCGGAGGTGGAATAGACGCTCTCCCGCCGCTTTCCCCTCAGGTGGATGATCGAAGACAGCCCTGAAGCGGCGGGAGAACTCCGCGTAGGTGATGGTTGCGGCGTCTATTCCCCTCCATTCGGCGTTGGCCCACTCCAACGCCTTGCCGGAGAGACAGGAGATGAGGGCGGAGACGCTCTCGTATCCCGAGGGCGCCGGGTGTATGGTGGCAAGGTAAAGTTCCACCTGCAGGAGGAATCCCTGACACCCGGCTGCAGAACCGTCATATGCCCTCGGGAGCGAGAGCCGAATGCCACTGGGTTCCGGTGCTGAGAGAGGAGGACTGGCCGTTGGTGATAGGATGTTGTAAGAGTGCGTGGGCACCTCTCGATTCACCAATCGGCGCAGAGTGTTGGACACCTCGTCCATGGCGGCCCCGAGTTGCCGGATCATGGTGTCCTGGTAGTTGATCCGGTCTTCCAGGGATTCGGGTGCCGCCGCCGTTCCTGCTGACTCCATGGTGGTGTGTTGTTCTGTCACTTGAACCGATGTGGATGTGGTGGAGGAGTCAGGCGCAGGACACAGAGGTTAAGTCCAACAGACTTTAATAGTCTAATGATTATGAGGAAAAAACCCGACCTCGAATAACACCAAGAGCCGAGGGAAAATTACGCACACGCGTAAACACTAAACACGAAACAAAACAGAGTGCAAACACGTAGCTCTGACAAAGTGGCAGCAATAACAACACACAATCAGTCTAGTGCAAAAACACGGAACTTATAAGACACGTAATCAACACACAAATGGACACAGGTGTAACAGACAGACAAAAGCAATCAAATAACGAAACATAGAGCGGTGGCAGCTAGTACTCCGGGGACGGCGAACGCCGAAGCCTGCCCGAACCAGGAGGAGGAGCAGTCTCGGCAGAATCCGTGACAGCGATATCGTGAGGTTACCCTACTTATCTGAAATTACATGATCAATTGATGTTTACTGATCATGAAAAGAATGCAGTTACTTGCTGTATAACTCTGATGATAGAGTGAAATGTGCACAATTGTTTTGAATGGAATAATCGAAAATGTGTAGGTCTGACTATGCTCTTCAAGAGGTGATGATATTGCAACTAAATAGTTACAATTTATTTAACAATCCCTTGAAAACAGCATTTGTCAATTGTTTTAGCGGAGCTGTGGGTCTCCTTGCCCCCCAGCAGGCAAATAGAACGCGCTACACCTTATTGTGACGTTTGACTGAAAACGACCTATAGTCCCAGTCGGTATTCACGTAATAATAAGGAATTCTACTCGACCCACAAATTGGGGAAAACAAAAATTATTTCCCATTGTCCCCCATTGTAAAACAGGCAACTTCTTCATATGTTTTTTGTTATACAGAAATAACAAAACATGCCGAAAAGCTGCTGTGTTGTTCAATGTACATGTAGCCAGGTCAAAAATCCCGACCTACGGTTCACAATGCTCCCACATAGGGAAATGGAGCCTGCGAGAAGAGCCCTGTGGCTTCAGGCTATTTGGTGTGGGAGAGTGAGAAATGTGGGGATGCGGTGTCCAAGTAGGTTACACATAGCTATGTGTGGAAAACATTTAATCACAGGTAAGACATTAAACTTGTTTAGTACAGTCCGTTTGTAACTCCACTCACTACTTGTAGCTGTATAGTCCGTTTGTTTGTGTTGTTGGTCTTGGCTAGCTTAATGTTCCGGTCGGTAACTAGCTAGCACTCAGTCACTCAAGTGGCTGCTAGCATCGTCATGAAAAGGGGCATGAGGGAAGCCCTACAATATTACGTTTTTCTAAGTAGTGAGAAAGCTAGGGAGCAGGCAATGTTGAAAAGTAATCTTTAGACATACTGTACTTTTCTTAAATGTTGTTTTGTAACTGACTAAAACAAGCAGACAACAAGAAAATTGTGTTTCAAAAAGGTCACATTTTGCTGTGAGCCAATGGGGTAACCTAGGTAACCGCAGGTTGTTTTCCCCACAAGTGGGAAGGGTTGCGACGTTCTATCTAATACCGACTGGGTCTATTGTCAGTAATAGGTTTTATGAAGCACATAGTCCAGGCTTTGGACAATGTACATATTGATGGTAATAGCCTAGATGCTACAGTAGCCTCGCCCATGGCTCAGAAACACACATGGTCTGTCTTAGGCATTATGAGTTTTTGGATATAGCATAATGGTGTATTCCTCTGTGGAAGTTTGACTATTTTCACTAAAATTGGATTTCTGCAATTGGTCTCCCTTAATTAGTTTGAATAAATCACGTTCCTTTGTTAGGGAGCCGTCTGTGTTCCTGCTGTTTGATTCCGCTGTCAGGTTGAGGGAGTTTCTATTATCCTAATGGTAGCACTGAAGACACCTACTGTAATTGTCAGCGCGCCCAGGTGTCTCTGGCCAATTAGTTTTGAGACCTGAGGACTCTGCCTATGTGTCTATGCCACATACACCAGGCACCACCATTTATAACTCTCAATGAGGAGGAGTGTGCTGATTAGAGGCCCTATATGACGAAAACTAGGAGGTACGACCAAATTGTCTCTGGGGAACCTTTAAATTGGGGAAATTGAATTCATTTCCTGCCAAATTGGACCTTCTTTGTTATAATGGTCCAAGAAGAACTGAGACTGAATCAGACGAGAGGAGCCATGTTGGTTCTCACCATGAGATTAGCTCTGTTGCAGCCTCATCCTACTGAGCCACCACCATTCCACTTGACTGGCTCTGGGTGTGACAGAGACAGACCACTGGCACCCGAGGCAGAGAGGAACAGTCTCTGGCAGACACACGGATGGACGCTAAGCTGTCAAATGGTTTTGGACTGGAGATCTTTGCTTCATTAAGAGATCTCTGCCATATTCGTTATCAGTCGTGATGAGCGCAGGCCAAGCTATATTATTGAGTGGCAGACATCCAGAGATATATTTAGGACGGCTCAGTGAGAGAATCAGATCCAAGATGGCAGGTCTCGATCACACTTTCCATTCTAATTCACACTGCACCCTTACAAAAAAAAACATGTCAAAATAGCTGTTTTCACATTGAGCTTAAATTTCACATGGGAAACCATATTTATAACCATATGTATTATATTTAGAGTTCACATGTTAACACCATCTTTTCACATGTGAGGAGAATTTTAAAAAATCACCTCGCATATGTGAATTGCAGTTTCACATGTGAAATGTGCGGTTTCACATGTTAAAAACTTTCACATGTGGAATTGCAAGTTCACATGTGAAAAACAATCACCCATGTGAAAATAATCACCCAACCCAACTTCTTCTCTTTCTGTCTTGTGTTTGCCAGATCCAGCTGGCGTGTCAGCCTGAATGTTCTAGTCTCAGGGTTAAGTGTAATGTTCCGCTGGAAGCTGGATCTAGAGTATTTCCTTCAGCAAGGCCGGGCTCAAGTCTACAGAGTTAAGACAGATTCATTCATCCAGAGCCTTGACCATCAGCTTGGAAGCTTTTATCACTGCTTAGGCATGACGGATTGGCCGGCGAATCATTACGCCCTGTCTTCCCCTACTGTACAGGGAAGGCAGTTAGTATGAGTCATTCCGTTGCCCAGACACCCTTAATAAGCCTAATATCCTTTACAATCAGACAGGGTCTGTCTGAGGCACTCCAGGGTACACAGCAGACGGGAGAGGGAAGGGGGGGGGAGCAAGGAGGGGGGATTCAAGTGCTTATTACTCCAGGCATCCATTCCATTGCCTTCAAGTGCAAGAAGTCTTTAACCTTGTCACTTTTTTAGATCAATAAGGAAGACCTTACGGATCGTACCGGATTCTGTCATTTAGAATGCAGGTGACGGCTTTGTTAGGAGAATAAACAGAGTCAATGGATGGCGAGAGAGTAGAGGAGATGGAGATAGAGAAAGAGACAGAAAGAGAGAGATTGGGGTAGTAGGGGGTGAGTAGCATCCATTATTGAGACTATTCCCTTATAATGTAATGTGGAAATATGAGGATATGAAGTGAAATGTATCACAGTGTGATCGTTGACACAGTACAGTCCTTTGATGTAATGTCATATAAACTTAATTTTTTTGAATGAAAATATAATGCAGTCTATTCACCTGAACTGTATTCACGATTCAAAGCCATTGCCTTTGGATGCCCTTTAATAAAATTGAGCAATGTTTCATCAGAGCATAAAGATGCCAGTACATTGTGAGCATGGCATTTAGAAGACTTATAATACAATTTAATTTGATGCTATTTAACATTTTCGAATGTGCCTTTTCTTTCTGTTATGTCGCTAATGTGCCTTTTCTTTCTGTTATGTCGATTCAGAAACTGTTGTCAAACATGCTGCATTTCATGATCTCAATACCAGTTATTCAACATTTCTATATCAAACCATGTCAGTTATCGAAATTCCAACATGATGACGTTGAAAGCAACAAAGAGCACAATACCACACATGCACCATAATGTCTCTCACCCTCTCCTCAGTGGCAGAATCTCAAATGGCACCCTATTCCCTATAGTGCACTACCATAGGGCTCTGGTCAAAGGTGGTGCACTATAAAGTGAATATGGTGCCATTTGCATTTCATACTACAATATTTGCTAAAGCCACAGGAGACTAGGAGAGACTAAGCTGGCAGCAAAACGCTCTGACAGCTTCCACTTAATACGCCCTCGCTGTGCCCGACAAACAGCATTTAGGAGGTAGACAAACGCACGCCCTGGGAAGTGGCTCGCTCTGGCCTGAACGGAGCACAGAACCACCACCTCACCACAAGCAACAGCTGTTTAGGGGAGACACCTGGGCTCTGCCTACAGGAGCCCCTGTTAGACTATTAGATAAGCAGGCTGCAGCGCTATAAGCAAGGATTCAGACTGCCAAAACAATGGCTACTTGAAGATCTGAAGATCAGAACAAACATAGTCACGTCAATGAACTAGCCCAGACTTAGCCCCAGGGAACAGTCTAACCATGTCGAATTTCTGCTGAGGCAAATTAGGGGGGAAAAGAGGTGTGTGTGATAGAATGGCAGAGCTGTTTTGTTTTAAGTATCTCAGGAATTGTCTATTTTACTCATTGAAGCGATGCGAAATATGTAGGACACATGATTAAATATAACAGTCTAGGGCTGGGAATTGCCAGGGATCTCACGATATTATCACGATACTTAGGTGCCGATACGATACGTATTGCGATTCTCACGATTCTATATGTATTGCGATTTGACACATTGATTTTGTAGCGATTTGATGTTCCCAGCATATTGCTCACTATACAGTGGGGAAAAAAGTATTTAGTCAGCCTCCAATTGTGCAAGTTCTCCCACTTAAAAAGATGAGAGAGGCCTGTAATTTTCATCATAGGTACACGTCAACTATGACAGACAAATTGAGAGAAAAAAATCCAGAAAATCACATTGTAGGATTTTTTATGAATTTATTTGCAAATTATGGTGGAAAATAAGTATTTGGTCACCTACAAACAAGCAAGATATCTGGCTCTCACAGACCTGTAAGTTCTTCTTTAAGAGGCTCCTCTGTCCTCCACTCGTTACCTGTATTAATGGCACCTGTTTGAACTTGTTATCAGTATAAAAGACACCTGTCCACAACCTCAAACAGTCACACTCCAAACTCCACTATGGCCAAGACCAAAGAGCTGTCAAAGGACACCAGAAACAAAATTGTAGACCTGCACCAGGCTGGGAAGACTGAATCTGCAATAGGTAAGCAGCTTGGTTTGAAGAAATCAACTGTGGGAGCAATTATTAGGAAATGGAAGACATACAAGACCACTGATAATCTCCCTCGATCTGGGGCTCCACGCAAGATCTCACCCCGTGGGGTCAAAATGATCGCAAAAATCCCAGAACCACACGGGGGGACCTAGTGAATGACCTGCAGAGAGCTGGGACCAAAGTAACAAAGCCTACCATCAGTAACACACTACGCCGCCAGGGACTCAAATCCTGCAGTGCCAGACGTGTCCCCCTGCTTAAGCCAGTACATGTCCAGGCCCGTCTGAAGTTTGCTAGAGTGCATTTGGATGATCCAGAAGAGGATTGGGAGAATGTCATATGGTCAGATGAAACCAAAATATAACTTTTTGGTAAAAACTCAACTCGTCGTGTTTGGAGGACAAAGAATGCTGAGTTGCATCCAAAGAACACCATACCTACTGTGAAGCATGGGGGTGGAAACATCATGCTTTGGGGCTGTTTTTCTGCAAAGGGACCAGGACGACTGATCCGTGTAAAGGAAAGAATGAATGGGGCCATGTATCGTGAGATTTTGAGTGAAAACCTCCTTCCATCAGCAAGGGCATTGAAGATGAAACGTGGCTGGGTCTTTCAGCATGACAATGATCCCAAACACACCGCCCGGGCAACGAAGGAGTGGCTTCGTAAGAAGCATTTCAAGGTCCTGGAGTGGCCTAGCCAGTCTCCAGATCTCAACCCCATAGAAAATCTTTGGAGGGAGTTGAAAGTCCGTGTTGCCCAGCAACAGCCCCAAAACATCACTGCTCTAGAGGAGATCTGCATGGAGGAATGGGCCAAAATACCAGCAACAGTGTGTGAAAACCTTGTGAAGACTTACAGAAAACGTTTGACCTGTGTCATTGCCAACAAAGTGTATATAACAAAGTATTGAGAAACTGTTTGATTTCACAGAAGTGTGATTGACTTGGAGTTACATTGTGTTGTTTAAGTGTTCCCTTTATTTTTTTGAGCAGTGTATATACAGTACTAGTCAAAAGTTTGGACACACCTACTCATCCAGGGTTTTTCTTTATTTTTACTATTTTCTACCTTGTAGAATAATAGTGAAGACATCAAAACTATGAAAGAACACATATGGAATCATGTAGAAACCAAACAAGTGTTAAACAAATCGAAATATATTTTATATTTGAGATTCTTCAAAGTAGCCATCTTTTGCCTTGATGACAGCTATGCAAAATCTTGGCATTCTCTCAACCAGCTTCATGAGGTAGTCACCTGGAATGCATTTCAATTAACAGGTGTGCCTTGTTAAAAGTTAATTTGTGGAATTTCTTTCCTTCTTAATAAGTTTGAGCATTTGTTGTGTTGTGTTGTGACAAGGTAGGGGTGGTATACAGAAGATAGACCTATTTGGTAGAAGACCAAGTCCATATTATGACAAGAACAGCTCAAATAAGGAAAGAGAAACGACAGTCCATCATTACTTTAAGACATGAAGATCAGTCAATACGGAACGTTTCAGGAACTTTTAAAGTTTCTTCAAGTGCAGTCGCAAAAACCATCAAGCACTATGATGAAACAGGTTCTCGTGTGGACCGCCACAGGAAAGGAACACCCAGAGTTACCTCTACTGCAGAGGATAAGTTAATTACAGTTACCAGACTCAGAAATTGCAGCCCAAATAAATGAGTTCACGTAACAAAAACATCTCAACATCAACTGTTCAGAGGAGGCTGCGTGACTCAGGCCTTCATGGTCGAATTGCTGCAAAGAAACCACTACTAAAGGACACCAGTAAGAAGAAGAGACTTGCTTGGGCCAAGAAACACGAGCAATGGACATTAGACCGGTGGAAATCTGTCCTTTGGTCTGATGAGTCCAAATTTGAGATCTTTGGTTCCAACCGCTGTGTCTTTGTGAGACGCAGAGTAGGTGAATGGATGATCTCCTCATGTGTGGTTCCCACCGTGAAGCATGGAGGAGGAGGTGTGATGGTGTGGGGGTGCTTTGCTGGTGACACTGTCAGTGATTCATTTAGAATTCAAGGCACACTTAACCAGCATGGCTACCACAGCATTCTGCAGCGATATGCCATCCCATCTGGTTTGCCCTTAGTGGGACTATCATTTTGTTTTTTAACAGGACAATGACTCAACACAGCTCCAGGCTGTGTAAGGGCTATTTTACCAAGAAGGAAAGTGGTGGAGTGCTGCATCAGATGAGCTGGCCTCCACAATCACCCGACCTCAACCCAATTGAGATGGTTTGGAATGAGTTGGACCGCAGAGTGAAGGAAAAGCAGCCAATAAGTGCTCAGCATATGTTGGAACTCCTTCAAGACTGTTGGACAAGCATTCCTCATGAAGCTGGTTGAGAGAATGCCAAGAGTGTGCAAAGCTGTAGCAAATAGTAAATATAAATAAAAACCCTTGAATGAGTAGGTGTGTCCAAACTTTTGACTAGTACTGTATATACACTGCTCAAAAAAATAAAGGGAACACTTAAACAACACAATGTAACTCCAAGTCAATCACACTTCTGTGAAATCAAACTGTCCACTTAGGAAGCAACACTGATTGACAATAAATTGCACATGCTGTTGTGCAAATGGAATAGACAACAGGTGGAAATTATAGGCAATTAGCAAGACACCCCCAATAAAGAAGTGGTTCTGCAGGTGGTGACCACAGACCACTTCTCAGTTCCTATGCTTCCTGGCTGATGTTTTGGTCACTTTTGAATGCTGGCGGTGCTTTCACTCTAGTGGTAGCATGAGACGGAGTCTACAACCTACACAAGTGGCTCAGGTAGTGCAGCTCATCCAGGATGGCACATCAATGCAAGCTGTGGCAAGAAGGTTTGCTGTGTCTGTCAGCGTAGTGTCCAGAGCATGGAGGCGCTACCAGGAGACAGGCCAGTACATCAGGAGATGTGGAGGAGGCCGTAGGAGGGCAACAACCCAGCAGCAGGACCGCTACCTCCGCCTTTGTGCAAGGAGGAGCAGGAGGAGCACTGCCAGAGCCCTGCAAAATGACCTCCAGCAGGCCACAAATGTGCATGTGTCTGCTCAAACGGTCAGAAACAGACTCCATGAGGGTGGTATGAGGGCCCAACGTCCATAGGTGGGGGTTGTGCTTACAGCCCAACACCGTGCACGACGTTTGGCATTTGCCAGAGAACACCAAGATTGGCAAATTCGCCACTGGCACCCTGTGCTCTTCACAGATGAAAGCAGGTTCACACTGAGCACATGTGACAGACGTGACAGAGTCTGGAGACGCCGTGGAGAACGTTCTGCTGCCTGCAACATCCTCCAGCATGACCGGTTTGGCGGTGGGTCAGTCATGGTGTGGGGTGGCATTTCTTTGGGGGGCCGCACAGCCCTCCATGTGCTCGCCAGAGGTAGCCTGACTGCCATTAGGTACTGAGATGAGATCCTCAGACCCCTTGTGAGACCATATGCTGGTGCGGTTGGCCTGGGTTCCTCCTAATGCAAGACAATGCTAGACCTCATGTGGCTGGAGTGTGTCAGCAGTTCCTGCAAGAGGAAGGCATTGATGCTATGGACTGGCCCGCCCGTTCCCCAGACCTGAATCCAATTGAGCACATCTGGGACATCATGTCTCGCTCCATCCACCAACGCCACGTTGCACCACAGACTGTCCAGGAGTTGGCGGATGCTTTAGTCCAGGTCTGGGAGGATCCCTCAGGAGACCATCCGCCACCTCATCAGGAGCATGCCCAGGCATTGTAGGGAGGTCTTACAGGCACGTGGAGGCTACACACACTACTGATCCTCATTTTGACTTGTTTTAAGGACTTTACATCAAAGTTGGATCAGCCTGTAGTGTGGTTTTCCACTTTAATTTTGAGGGTGACTCCAAATCCAGACCTCCATGGGTTGATACATTTGATTTCCATTGATAATTTTTGTGTGATTTTGTTGTCAGCACATTCAACTATGTAAAGAGAAAAGTATTTAATAAGATTATTTCATTCATTCAGATCTAGGATATGTTGTTTAAGTGTTCCCTTTATTTTTTTGAGCAGTGTATATACTGTATATAGAGAGATGTTAAATCGGGTTCAAGTCTGGGCTCTGGCTGGGCCACTCAAGGACATTCAGACTTGTCCCGAAGCCACTCCTGCATTGTCTTGGCTGTGTGCTTAGGGTCGTTGTCCTGTTGGAAGGTGAACCTTCGCCCCAGTCTAATGTCCTGAGTGCTCTGGAGCAGGTTTTCATCAAGGATC